ATAGGCTAACACATATTTTGGGTGTCTGAGCAATCTTCCAGACTACTTATACTAGTAAAGTTTAAAATAGTCTTTCCTTTCTTGGATAAAGGGGGTAAAACTCAACTTTCCTTTAAAGGTGCTTGTGCATAGTTTGAATTTGACATTTCTGGGAATCTAAAGTAATAACTGTCATCTTGCTACTGCTGAAAGGAATAATGTGTTATAACGGGCAGAAACAGAGCCCTCATTTACTATGCTAAATCTATTAAATTTGACTGCTCTCACAATACACAGATACCTGTGAATGTGTTAGTATAAGTTAATGGAATTGATAACTTCACAGAATAAATGCAAGATTAAAGCTTGCATCTTTCTTCAGAATTATATTGTATCTCTTGCTGAGAAGATTGGTCAGGTGATCTGAAACTCCAATTCCATTACTTTTTGTGTAGCCAGCAAAGCAGGCTGACTCTTATGATAATAGCTTTTGGTTACATCTGCTTTCAGTTTTTCACTGTAGTGCTTGTTCGCTGTCCCATCTCATCAGTGGTCTGTGAAGTTCTCCTCAAAGAATCCATAGAAACCATAGTTGTAGGAACAAGTTCATTGCTTTCCTAACCAGCACAAATTCCAGCAAAGCTGATAAAAGAGCCCATGCTTTTCACTGAGTGAGCATGGATTTTTTTTTTCTTTGCAAATAATTCTAGTTACAGTGAAATTCCACATAAGTAAGCCCTTCTTAGTAAGCACAGTCATCAAAACCAAAGACAGCTATTGACACAGCTGCAACTAATGATGTTTTAATTTCTCAAAAGCAATCGTCCTAATATTTGACTCTCACTGGAGAAGGGCTTTACACATGGCAATACAGCTCAAGAATGCTTTTGTAACAGTTTGTAAAGGTTTGACCTAGTAGTCTGTCTTGCTAAAACCAGCACGTTACAGGCACTGTGCAAGTGAAGGTCTGCCAAGATTTGAAATTCAGTCACAGCAGTTAATACTTGTGTCAGTATTTTTCATGACCAGCTAAGAATTATGGTAGGGGAGAGCATAAGCTTTCCTTCAGTTATAAAAATAAACCTGAAATGCTAATTTTGAACAGCTCAGGTTATCATTGTAAAATCCCTCCCATTTTAAATGTGCAATTGTATCTGACTGTTGTCTGAAGCCTCTCTGGAAGAAACATTACTTAAAGTTTAAAAAATAACAATTACTGCTCCATGTGGAAAGCATAATCTCTGCAGAACGTTGTGTTGTTATTTCTGGGACTTTTAATCAGAGCAGTGCAGTGCTCTTAGTCATTTCCACTTGGTAACTGTTTTCCTTTTTGTCACAGATTGAGGTGCGTATCCTGGAGTGAGTCTGACTCAGCTTCCTTTTGTCACGTTTGTTAAACAAAAGAATGTAGCTCTGAATTTTTTTTAATATAAGGTGTATTTAAAAAACTGCTGAGGAATTTTAGTTAAAGCTGGTGGAATTGGATGTTTGCTGGGGACATGCGATAGCTTTTTTCTGAAATGTTTTCCAGAGTGCCATTATGGCTGTACAATATGCATTTCATTAAACTGGATCTCTCGTGGAAGGTTGAATCCTATGCTTCTTCAACAGGCAACTTTCTCATCATATATGAGACCTCTGGCTGCATAACGACTAAAGTCTGCAGGATTTGCGTCTAAAATGTTCAGCAGGGAATGGTCCCAAATGATCTTGTCTCCTTGTTTGGAAATAATGGGAAAAAATAGGTGGTAGATAATGCACCCATATTGTACTAAAACTCTTACTA